ATCTGTTCCAGACTGCATTTGTCTTTTGCCGAAGCTTAGACTCTGGCACAGGATCGGGAGCGTTGGAAGCTCTTTCTGAGGTGTCTGCCTCCGCGACCCTAAAGGATAAGCGATGATGGAAAGTGAAGTGGTTAATTATACTATCGTACAAAGCAAGATCTCCTCCTCTGTGACCGCGCAATGTCCAAAAGAATGACGAAGAAACATATCAAAGATTTTAGAACAGTATTGCACAAAGATTACTAAACAACTAAGTGTTGGAGAAAAGAAATGCAAAACGTTGTGACAACTCGACTGAAGATTCTGGAAACTTATTAGGGAAGCATTATGCCATTTTTAAGCAACTTACTTTTCTAATTTAGTAAAAAAATCTTCATTAAAGACCGCTACTATCGTGTACTAACTTGCAGGATAAAAAGTTTCATACTTCTTTCCATACTAGAACACTCTTTCCTACAGAACACAGATCTTCTACTCTCGAAATTCACCATGTATAAAAGAGGGTTTAGCACATACGCATAATTTATCAACAGTAAGTGGAAGCTTCAGCCATGCACAGTAGGAATATCATCTTAAAAATGACACGAATTTTCAACAGAATATCTGCCATCCTTGGTGATAGCTACCGTGGAACATCAGGATTATATTTTCAATGAAAAATTGATTTTTAAACGACCTATATGATATGGCATAAATCCAGACTCACGGCATATTGCACCATTTCCTTACTCCTTATTGCCTACAGAAGAGGGTAGCAATTTAAGCAAGCCACGGTTCCATGGTCTAATGGCAGTTTTGCGTTATTTCACATACTCCAGCGTACAACAATATTGTGATGTTTTGGCGCTAGCATATAAAGAGTAGTATCAGCTCCTGAGACATCGTTTATAATGGGCGCAAAATGGCATTAGTGGAGAAAATGATGCCAGGAGCATTTGGGACTCTGAGTATATGGAATATTATGAAGTCATGACCTGCTTAAATGGTCTCGTATGCAACTAACAGCGAATGGCGGCGCATTTTGCCGTAAAATATGGTTTTGGAGGAGTCATCATTATTTCACTTACTCCGAAGTACCAGCCACTGATGATATTTATCCACCTTATCTGTGGCACATTCGGCAATAAGGAAGATACGGATGATGTGTTGACTGTCGAAGTAGCGTCATGTGTTTATATTTACCAATGGGTCTTCTTAAAGATTAGTATCTACCGTGAGCGGCGTGTCCTAGTATCTGATATGTCGTCGAATTCCATTGCATAACGCAGCCGGTAGATACACGTTGTGTTCAATTTTAGTTTGGTTATCAGGTGGGCCAAAGGGAATTGTAGCAGTGCGGATTACACATCAAAAAAGCATCGTCATAAACACACAATGCTGTCAGTATTGGCCGCACAATACAGCGAAGGACGAGTTGCTACCGGTCTCTGGGCTGATTGCATCTAAATTAAGCCAGTTAGGCTAATCGTAGGGCGCTGATTTTCATTTCGATATTATCAAACAGAAGTGCTTTATGTTAAAGGCAGGGTCGACAGCATTTATTGGCAGATGGGGTGTGTAATCTCCTGTTTCCTCACACACGGCGGTAATCATTTATCAATGTTTGAGGGATGAAAAGTGAGTGTTTCGAGAGGGGCTTGAATCCGGGGCCTCTTCGTTCTGTGTCCAATGCTTTACAGCTTGAGCAACCATAATCTGAAGCG